AATTTTTAACTGCATCACAGGGTTTATAAAGATGGAGACTTTCTCCTGGTAAAGAGCCTTTAGTAAGATGGTTCATGAAATATCTAACAAAGATGAAAATGTAATCATTTGACTTTGCATTTAAAATAATGCACACCCTTCACAGGGATTGCTTTTTAAACTGTTTCCTTCTGTGGTATCACATTTTGAATGCACTCGGTTCCTGATAAGCCAGGCTCATTTGAAATCCTCGGGTGCCTTTTGCTGTGACAAAGGTTTGATAGCTTGGCTTTGGGAAGAGCTTCCCAAATTGTTCCCACAGCTTTCGCTGTGTTTGGTGGACGTTCTCTTTCTGAACAAAACACGCAGGTAGCATTGGCAGAACTGTTTGTGGCAGAACTTGCTGTTGTTACCCTACTCCAACTATTATTCTGTTTCAGAAGTTGCTGAATTCACAGGGTGAAACTATCAATCCCAATCCCTATCAATCAAAACAGTGATTAATTACTTTAATCTTTTATTTGGTCATGCCTGTGTGTTGCTTTGCAAACGCTGCACCATGTCTAGCTATGGCTTCTAGACATTCATTTATGATGGGACTAGCTCTGTGGATGATTTTGAGAGCCTGTTTAGGAGTTTCAGAATCCTAATGAAAAACGTGTGCAGGATGGACTACCTGCTATGTGTGTGTTGCACCTGATGGCGTTAAAAGATCGAGGTTTGTTTTGTTTGATCAGAGAGGCCCTCCTCTCCATTGGAGGCACCTTTGGGCTTTATGGAATTCCATGCACTTTAATTTACCCAAGCACCTCAATGTGATACTGCGTGTCCACTAAACAGTCTAAAGACAAAAGGAAGGAAACCACTCCTTCTAACCCTGTTCCCAGACAGATCACACAGATAGGGAACACGATGGACACCTCAAACACAGCATTATTCAGGTTTTCAGCATGCCAGACTCTATCTGTGTTCCCCTGAAATCTCTGGGAAAGATGTGGAAATCTTGGAATCCTCTGGAAATACTTGCAGCGCCCTAGGTGCGTGCTGAGGGGTGCAGAGCTAGGTGCCTTGCAGCAGCATGAGAAAAGTTTATAGGGGGAAAACTACATTCACGGTAAGGACGCTTTATTTTTATTTCTTTTTTTTAATATTTATATTTATTTTTACTTGTATATTTTTATTTTATTTTAAAGCCTCTCCCCCCTCCCCTTTAGCCTGAACTTGACGAAACTCACTTTTTTCCCTCGCTCCGTGCGCGGCCGCGGCCCCGCGCATGGCGGCCGGCGCGGGGGTGCCGTTAGGACCGTTAACGGCCGCTCCCCACAGCCGGTCCGGTCCGGTCCGGTCGGGCAGCGCGCGGGGCGCCTCGCGCCTCGGCGCCAGTAGGTGGCCGCGACGCGCGTCACGTGACGGGCCCTCCCCGGCCGCGACCGAAGCAGAAGCGGGAGGGAGCGCGGGGCAGCGCGGAGCGGAGCGGCCGCCACGGGGCCCGCGGGACGCAGGAGCGGCGGCAGCAGCGCCCGCCGCCGCCAGGTGAGGCACGGGCGGCCCCGGGGGGGCGGCCCCGCCGGTGCCGCGGCGGCGAGGGCCTCCCGAGGGTCAGGGCTGGGCAGCGGCCGCTCCGCACCCGGGCGTGCGGCCGCGCCTCGACGCCCAGCCCTTGGCTGGGTTCCGTTCTGCTCCGCGGTTGTCAGGTGTTGTCCCAGGAAAAGGCAGGAATTGCTCTGTGCGGGCACAGACGGCGCCTGGGCCGTGCGCGGAGGCCACGATGGCCTCTGTCTAAAATCGACGTGAGGAGACGTTTCTGCATTAGCCACCCGATTGCTGGGCCAGATGGACGCCGGATAAAAGCAACGCTTCGCCAGTCCGCGGAACCGGCCCCTTGGGCTCCAGAGACTGCCGGAGCGTTGCTTTTATTCGGCACACGGGTGTCATAGCCTGCCGGTTGGAGACAGACGGATACCGCGGCCGTGAGGGTCATAGCAGGGTGGAAAAGCGCCAGGTTCGAATCGCGGAGCAGTGGTGGGTGTCAGGCCACCCTCACAAAGGTGACGTCTCCTATGAAGGGCTTCCAGCAGCGCTTTTGGGAGGTTGGATATGCTTTTGTGGTAGGGAACTTGCAGTGACACCCGTTCACAGTTACCCTTGGATATTATCCCATGAGGATCAGTTCAGGAATGATTTGTTAAGTGGGTCAAATAATACCTATTTTTTCCCTATTTAATCTCATTTTATTTTTGACTGATGAGGCAGATCCCTCGGCTTCTGCGTTGTTTCACAGTAAGCTAAAAACGTGGCTTTTGCCGTAGGATTTACGTTAGGCTAATAACCATGTTCACTCTGTTTTTGAAAGAAAGAGCTACTTTGAAAGGGGAAGTCCAGTATATTATATTCAGCGGAAGCTGTTTAAGAAGCCACCTCAGAGGCAGTTCCTTTGTACTAAGAGACTGCATCTATCAAGAGAAAAAAGTTTTGTTGGCTTTCATTAAATGGGTCTATTTAGAAATTCCTTTTCATGTTGATCCAAGTCATGTTGCACTTTGCAGCTACACCTTGTACTGTAAGAGGCAGATCAGATGTATGTTTTGTTATATTCTTCTAGAGAAAAAAGCTTGCACTCATTTACAAGTTGAGTTCTGTTAGTGCGTTTGAAGTATTATATGGTTGAAGTTTTGTTCTGCTTTATGGTATGTTCATTTGAGCATTTGAGTACAATTCTTCATAAAGGAAGAAAAATAAGACTACTAGGCGTGCAGTTCTTTTTTGAAGACCGAGTGCTGTTTAAATTTTTATTATTTTTAAGACCCACCCATACTTGTTGTTCTATTATAGTAGAACATTGTAGCAAGAGGAGGAGATTCTATCTTTTTAGATGCAAATCCATGATCATTTAAATAATGATCTCTTTAGTTCCACAGAGTCCAGTCAGTTCCATTTGAGCAAAATTCTACCATTGCTTATTACCCTTAAATATATTTCACAGTTCTCAGTCATAAGGTTGGCCTATATGATTGTTTTTCAGTCTTAATAGAGAAGTAGAGCACCTTCTCTTTATATAGTAACAAACTGATAGATGTTGAACACTACATAAACTGTATGTTTTGCAAAACATGCAGTAAGCCATGATTCCTGCTGTGGGGCAATTGACGTTCACTGTAGGTAGTGCCCAAAAGGCCACACCATAGGTAAGAGGACACTCTTGTGCGCCAAAAAAATCCAAGCACTTTCATGACATGCTGGAGTTTAAGAAGGGACAGGAAAATTTGTCCTGGGCATGTTCAAAGTCTGCCAGATCACCCTGTGGAAGCAGCGACCGACAGGGTGAGTTTTGGAGCGAGCTGAAGGGAGAGCTCTTTAGTTAAGAGCAGGTCAGGAGCCCGTGACGGGGGTGAGGGGAGGGTTGGAAGAAGTCACGAAGGGGAAGCGAGAAGTGGCACGGTCAAACTGGTTATCAACACGGAAACCAAAACCGCTCGTGATGGGGAGCAGTGGACTGAGGAGAGAGGAAGAGCTGCTGAGGCTGCTGGCTGAATGTGCCCAGAGACACTTTAAACCTGTGTGACTCAAGGAATTGGGTAAGGGGCACGGTTGGGAGCCACCGCTCTGCTCCCAACCTCCGGCTCTTGTGTGGGAATGATATCACTTCCTCCTTTGTGCAAGGATGGAAGAGCCGCTTCCAAGCTGCACTGTTTGTATGTATTCTTGATGGGGAGCAGTTAAGGTTGCAGTTAACTATTTGGTGTGATCACATGTGGGAGATAAACTACAGAAATGTGTTAATATTTGTGAAAGCTATTGCAAATGCACCTTTCTGCAGACTGTTTTTGTGCCAAGATGCAAACCAAGTTTATATGCATGAATGCATATAAACTGACCTGCCTCCTGACCTATGAGTAAGGAAAAGTAGCCTGTAGAGGAGTAACTACCACATAGCCATGGAATTTTAAAAGTGAGTGAGCAGACAGTTTTAGAAGTAGAAAGTATTTTTCTCTGTATTTGTACTTGCTCATGTTTTTCCTTCAATTTTCTTTAAAATTCTTAGGAAGACGGTCAGTTTGTTTAAATTTTCTTATAGGCAAGTGTCTTCTAGTGCCCAAATCATTTACACAAGCTGCTGTCATTAGTTCTTCTATTTTCTTGTCGTTGAACTGCCTGGTTTCAGGCAATTCCTCTTAACTCCTCTGGATATAATAGAGGAAAATGGCAGCACAGGCTCCAGATCCTTTGAGCCTTTCCAGATTTCAGAAGTCTCTGCAGGTAGCAAGTTACAAGAACTAAAGTTTCTTCCAGCTTAACGTAGAATTTACAAGTTTTTTTTTATGGAACAGAAGTCTCTAAACATCCTAAAACAGCACACAAAGTCTTACAGGAATAATCATTTTTGATAAGAACCACTTTTCACTCTGTGTTAATTAGAGAAAACCTCCATAACTGAAGATGTAATGGTAGGTAAATGCTCAGGTGGTTGTAAGGGACCTGAGAAGGTTGAAGTGATCCTTGTAACCTGTATTTGTACTGGTGGATGTGCACATGCAAGAGAAGGTTTGCATGTGTAAAACAGCATGCAGGGAAATACGTGAATTCATGTGATTTTACATATTTGGACTAAGCTAGTCTTAGCTCACTGTGCACAGACTGAGGAAGCAGTTAGTTGTAAGTGGCTGCGAAAATGGAGGTGTTAGTTTTGCTGTGAGCTTTAATCAATTCATTGCATGGTGGCTGCTCCCCCAGCTCTTCATTTTTAGCTGATTTGGTAACAATGTGTCAGCAATCGGTGCCACTGCTGTCCCTGGAGTCTATTCCTACTTCCTTGCAGGATGAAATGGCAAGATACTGTTAAGCTACACCTGGCATGTATTTTAGTATGAAGGAACCACTGTTGGGTAGATTTAACATCTTTAAAAATTCTTTTATATAAATAAGTGTTGTTTAAAGTACTCATTTTTTTCTCTCCTTTTTTTTTTTTTTTTTTTTTTTTTCCCCCTTCAGCACGCTGGAAACAGTAAACTTTTGATTAAAAAAAAAAATGCCCAGAAAGAATATAGACTATGGAGTGCTGCCCGAGTATGAGAAAAGCCAGATCAAAAGGACCCTGGAGCTGGGAACTGTCATGACAGTGTTCAGCCTTAAGAAGAGTAATCCAGAGAGAAGGACTATTCAAGTCATAATGGAAACCAGGCAGGTAGCGTGGAGCAAGACAGCTGACAAGATTGAAGGATTCTGTGAGTATTTGTGAAGTGTATCTCACCTCGGAATTACTGATAGATTAATGTAGTTGTCAAGCATCGATCTAAGGATGATTTGTGTTAACATAATGATGCTTTTGGCTGAAAAGGATTTGAGAACTTCCTGGGAATATTCTGAACTGTTGCAGAAGGTGAAGAATTTTCCATGGCTCACTGGGTATTTAGATAACAGTGTATTTATGTTAATAACATGCTTTTCCCCTGTACTCTGCTCTCCAAGTTTTCATCTTTGAGGCTGATGCCACTTGTGTTCTGTGTGAGTAATGTTACTAAGCAGAGCTCTTCTGCATCATCATGCATCAAGTTGTTTTGGGGGATTAAGACTTTTTTATTCCTCCTGTCTTCAAAAAGACAAAGCCCCAAATTCAAGATTATTGAGTTATAATTTCTATATTCTTAAGGAATTTGCTCTTATAGGGTAGCAGTTACTACCAAGGAGCTGCTGGAAAGTGTCCATGGCTTCTCAGGAGGAAGTTGTGAGATATGAGAGATGTTTTAAAAGGGCCTGCAGTCTCTATAGTTCGTATCTAAATTAGGGAAAACTGTTATTTGTAACATTATGGGAGACTAGAAAAGGACCAGAAATCTACATGAGCCTGCTTAAGTTTCAGGGAAGAATAAAGTGAAACTAATTTTCAGTTTTTAGCAAACATGGTTGATGTCAAAGCAAGCTCAGCTTGCAGTTCAGGAGATGTGTAGTGTTATAATTGTAAAATTATATTTACTGTGCTTGCGTATGACTGTATGTAAACTATTGTTTTCCAGACATGATCTTAGCAATCCATTGCTAAATGGCTTTTGCGTTTAATAAAGCAGTTTAATTGCTTGCCTGAGTTGCCAGAATCATTTAGTGGTTAGCCACAGCTAAAATAAAAAGCTTGGTGCTGAGGAACTAGGGTTGTTTGGATCAAGAAATTGTGATAAGGAATTGGAGGAGGGGGTGTTTGGAGGTGGAGAACTGGGAAGGCTGGGCAGGTGTTTTGCGCTGAGAGAGTAAAAACTATGTTGAAAAACCTACAGAGATAAGACTAGAATTCATTGTGCAGAGACTGATTTCTGTGAGAAGCAAGTTGATCGAGTGCTGGGAAAAAAAAAGAGGATTACAACATGAGAAAATTGAGACTAGTTAAAGGGAAAACTATTACAAGTAGTAAATCTTCAGTTGCTAGAGTTTCCATTGGATCCTGTTGCATTCATTGCACAATGGGACTAGGACAGGACTTGTCAAGAAATGAAGGACTGGATTATCTATAGGATAAAGATTTGATGATGAGCAGTATTCTGAGGAAAAGCAAACAGGGTTGGGCACACTGGATTGTAATCTTGCTGTGCCCTGGTTTCCTGTGTTTATAATGAGGGTAATTATCCCTTCCTATGGTGATGCGTATGAATGTAAGGCCGATACTGGTTCTGATATGCTCAGATCCCAGAGAGGCTTGCCAAAGAAAAGTTCTGTAAGGAAATGGATAATTCAATCATGAGAGCATTGAACTAGGCAAATAAAGCCTGAGGTGACACCCTGAACAATAAGTTTAAAACAAAATGGAAAATGACTGTCATTAAGTGAAGGGCACATTAGAGTCCTTTTAGAAAAAAAACAAAACAAAAAACCATGGCACAATGATTTGTGTAAGGGACCAGCTTTGTGTAAGCTGTACAGGCTCCGCATTCCAGATTTCAGGTTAAACTTTTTTCCAGGGATTGACTTTTATACTAATCTTTTGTTAAAGCTTCCTAGGTTTGTGTGTGTTTGTGCGTATGTATATGATTAGTAGTAAGGCTTCCCAGTTAAAGTTTGCTTTATCCATATATTTAAAAACTTCTACAAAAAAAAAAAAAAAGAAGAAAATCAAGTTTTACATCTGGGTAGTTCATCAGTTCATCCTTACACAAGCAGTCATTACCAAAATGGAGAATATTACTTTATGCTCGTGATTTGGGCAAAGGATTGTTGGCCTCTTTCCCCATAAATTCTACTTCCGTAGTAGTTATTCTAATTCAGCAAACTTTTAAGTGACCTTTATAACAGTGGAAGCGTCAGATCTGAGAATATCTCTTACTGTAAAGGATGAATATGCAAAATACTGTTTTGTTTTAAAAAGCAAAGAAGCCTTCCAAAACCAAGGACATATTTTGCAGGCAATGTTTTAAAATATGTTGTGAACACTTGTTACAGTTCATATCTGATCTAAATTATGTCTGATCTACTTAAAATGAAAGTCAGTGCAGCTTTAACTTGCTGACTGTGTTTTTGCTGAAGAGGAAGGAAATCTTGTTTTTTTTTTAAAAAAATTGCTATTCTTTGGACTCAGATTTCCATTTTGCTTGGAGAATGGGAAAATTGTGGATCTGAACCTTTCATGTCTGATAATTAAATGAATGAGCTAGAAGACAAGTTGCTTATATTTTGTGCTAGGAGAAAAATGGGATATATTGACTTTGAAAAATAAATACCTCACAGATTTGAAATACATAGTTTTAGTGGCTAAGTACACAGAATTAAAATCTCTCATAATATTTTTGTTTGATATGCAGTGTTTTAATACTGAGGAGAGTTGTGTAAGGACTAATTAGTGATGTGATTTTAATGGTTGCTGTTTCCCCATGCTGCAGTCTGGTAAGAATTAATATTAAATATGGGTGGGAGAGTAAAACTGTTTCCTGTTGTGTATGCAGTTTTAACTTGAGTTTGACAACTGCTCTTTTAGAGTAGGCAGAAAACTGAATGTTTTCACCCTCTAGGGGGTTTGTGTTTCTAAATCGAACAGTGAGAAGACAAAATTCTTAAGTTTTGGGATGCAAAAACGACTGTTAATAGAGAGGATGGAGATTGGGTTTCATAACTTACTGTGATTCTCTGGCAATGAGAATTGCCAGACATCCTCTGCCTTGTCCTCCTGATCTAGCCCAGGATACCCTTGGCTGCCCTTGCTGGAGGGCCATGTTCACCACCAGGATCCCAACCTCTCTGCAAAGCTGCTTCCTAGCTAGTCGTCCTGGCACATACTGGTGCACAGAGCCGTTCTTTCCCAAGTGCAGAACTTTGCTTTTCCCTTCGCTGAGCATTGAGGTTCCTGTCTGCCCATTTCTCCAACCTGTTGAGGTCCCTGTGTGTGTGGGACCAGCAGCACGACCATTTGGTGTCCAGCCCATCTTCCATGTTTCATAGCATCTGCAATAGTGAGCTGTTTCTGCTCTAGGGATAACCTAGTGCAGAACCGCCTGCAGATCATTGACCCATAGGTGGTGTTGACCACTGAGTTACTAGATTTGTAATTGAAGAACTCCAGATTCTCGTGGCTGTAGCAGAGCTAACCTGACCTTTGCTTTATCAACACATCACACAAGGAAGCTTTAGTTTCCTGATAGAATTGATTTACTTGTTTAATTTGTAATAGATGCTTTTTTTTTTTTTCAGAAACTAATTTACTCATGCTAGATATTTATCTGTAAAGCTGTAACTTACACATATATGAATCTAAATTTGCAGTGTATTGTTTGTCATGCCACTTCCTTACTGTTCTGCTATGTGTCTTTCATTCCTTTCTTTTTCTCTGCAGCTGTGTGTGGTGACCATCAGGTGACGCTCCATGGTGTTTTTCCACCCCTCTGAATTGTCACCAACTGCACAAAACCTGTGGGTTCCACATTCCTGGGATATCTGGGGGTCATTTCTGCCTCTGTGCCAGCTACTTTTGCTGAGCTACCAAATAGCTCAAGCAATTGTAATGTTGTAAGGGCGTTAGCAGTGGAGGACCTACAGGAGAGCACTGAGGGAACGGGTGAAGCAAGGGGTGGCCAGGAGAAGGACCTACTTCAGAAAGACCTACTTCACTCTGCTAGGTGACAGTCTGTGGAACCACTACCCGCTGACTTGCATTTTATTTCAATTCTACGAAATAAAGCCCCTCAAAAAAGAAAAGGCCACCCAAATTTCCTTGTGTTATGATACATGTACTAATGTGTACATGAGTAAAGTAAGGCCCCAAGAAGTTACACTGTCCTTGTGGAGCAGGTAGCCCATAAGATGTAAATCTTCAGGAGGCTGATCCGTCACAGGCAATTTATTCTGCATCAGAAGGGAAGTCCTTTAAGGAGAATTGTAAGGGAAAGTTTTGTGGCAAATAAGAGCCTGATTAGTCAGTGGAAACCTTGCAAATTTCTGCATTGCTTCCATGCATCCCTGTAGTTTTATTTATAATCTGATGAGTCACAACTTTGAGAATTTATTCTCTGAGAAGACAATGGTGTCTTCACTGAATGTGCAAATACATGTTTCTCTGTAATAAATCCATACAAATTTCAAGGAAGGTTCTACTGAGGATTTGAGATTAATATTCCATTTCTGATTTCCTAAGAATTTTTGCATTTAAGGTGAAGACCACATTTTGTAGAAATGAGTTGAACCATATTTTAATCTCTTACTCTTTAGGCAATTAAGGTGACCTAGCCTTTTGACATCCTTAATTTATTGCAAAATGCTGGATGGAAAAATCTACCTACCTTTTTGTTGTGTGAACATACAACAAGAAGCAGGTTTAAGATTTGGAGAGCATTGTTTAAAAAATTAGTCACAATGCATCAGCTGTTGTTTCTGTTTATAGACTGAGAGTTTAGGACACAGGCAAGGTTGAAGGACAAAAGTGGGTGGATGTGTTGGGATTAGTTTATTCAGAATTTTTTTTCTCCCAGAGGATAGAATACCCATGTTCGGGAATGACTGAGTTTTGGACTTGTAATTAATCTAAAGACGGGACTACTAAATACAGGAATAATGGCTATTTAAATTGATTTTCTTAATGCTAATGATATGCCCTAGTACAATGGGCAGTTGCAGCTTTTTCTTTCCACAGTACAGACCTACATTATGGCAGTGAGTCTATCTTATACTTTCTATTTTCAACTTTAATTAGAAAGATACAAGAAGTGCACAATATTTTATTTTGGGATTAACAGGACCTGTTAATTTCCATTCT